TAAACAACAAAAAGAATAAATTTTATTGTTTGTTTTTTTCTAATGAACAATTCTTACAGAAGAACAGCAATTATTCGAAAGATTCGCAATAATTTTCGTGTTCATAGTACCGTAGAACTAGTTATATTTTATCTTAACTGACTGATGAACAATTAAATATTTAGTTTTTAGAAAAACGTAATGAAGGGTGGGTGTGAGTGCGAGTATGGCGATTGGTAAACGAATTATGAAGCCACATCTACACCCACACCCACACCTTCACCCTCAAACAATGGCGAAATCGCGATTTTAGCGAGCTTGACTCGCCTTCACTCTTACATACTCTCATTTATAATGGAATTTGAAGTACCCAATGTCGGCTCTGAAAGAAAGTGATCGTTCCTGAATAGTTCTAATACATCGAATTTATTATGAAGACTACTGTTAAAAAAGCGAAAATTATTATTGGTACTATAACGGCAACTTCACATTCGAGGATAATTATATTATGAAATGTCATTCTCGCATGATTCTATTTTTTTAATTGATTGTACAGTGAAAGGAAATTGTTTTGAATCTAAAATACAGATAAATATATATCGTGTTTATGTTCTTAATTTGATTTCTCATGATTGTATATTGAATAACGTATGAGTCCGCCTTCTGTTTATAAGGTTGTATTAAACGAGACGTTTTTGATTCATATACATAAAACTTAACAAAGATTGATCAGGCACTGGTATATTTTGTAGAAAAATCGTAAAAGGTTCATTATCCGTTGCTTCAATTACAGTTAATACTTTGAATAATGTGTATGGTAAAATGAGCACTTCCTCTTCGTCTGGATATTGTGATAATGGTGGTAAATTTTCTGAAACACGTGTCAGATCGATAGCTGTTTTGCATGAATTGGAAAATTCAAATATAAATAAAACGCTATACAAATGTTGATCACATGTTTCACTATGTCCAGAATATAATAATGATACATTCTTAACTTTCGATGTTGAGGCAAAATTATATGTTTCAATAATACAATTATACCTCATGGCATAATAATATCGTGTAACATCAAATTTGGACATTCTTATTCCACGATAACATGTACCTTGATAGGCACGTTGAGAAAGAGATGCTAAATGTAAATAAATCAACGTTGTATACGCATCTGAATGTTCCCTAATTTCTCTATAAAGATCATTTAATGTATAAAGATGTATTAGACTGTTAGCATTTTTCGTCTGTAAATAATCATCAAATATTGTTTGAATTAACATATGATTACCTGTCATATTATCAGGTGAAAAACCTAAATTACCAATAATATGTTCAAACGCTTCAATACTTCGTGCTTCTGTTAATTTTTTGATAATATTTCGAAAACATTTCGGCATTCTATGAAATCGATTCATATACCGTGATTGTATTGCATCTTTAGACTGTTTGACAACTCTTTCATTATGTATATTCTTATTAAGTATGTTTAATGTTTTATCAACATTTTTATCATTGAATCTTGAATAACGTTCGCTAATTGACCGATGAAATAAATGACGAATTTCATCGTTTAACGCGGATTCGTATGCAGTTTTGCCTTCTTGATTAACCATTGTACATGAAAAGCCATTTGTCAAGAGTAATTCAACAACTAGTGCATGACCAGCTCGAGCAGCAGCGTGCAATGCTATGTCTCCGTTTGGTTCAATTCGATGAAGTCTGTTCTTGTGTAAAAGTGGTCGCAGATGCTGCCGTAAAACAGCAATATTACCTTCTTTACAAGCATTATAAAATGCACTTGGTTTTAGTGATAATCCATCAAATTGTGAGCAAAAAAATTCATCGTCAAAATGCGTTTCCAATTGCTCAGAGTTATTATTACCCATATCTAAATAAATAAAAGGAACGAGAATATTAAACATAAGACCAATATCAAGATATCATATTTTAAATTTATAACACAAAAATTCGCTAAAATAAGCATCCGAAACTTCTTCTAAAGATCGTATCACATTTAGTTTTTGACTTTATAGGTATGAATGTTCAAACTCGATGTATATCTGTAAGGATTTATTGACAATGATAAAAAGATTTAATATCTCTGACAAGCTTTCTATCTCTTCTCATGAACTAATATGTTGTAAATAACACTTTATTTTAGAAAAATTATAAAATCAGGAAAATATAGAGAGACATGGATTTCTATTTCTTCATGGTAACATTAAATCCAATTCATTATTGCATATTTGACTAGTCTATAAATACAATATACGTGACATATATCAAATCAACAACATATATTGGAAGATTCTTGTTGAACACTGCATGTTCTACAAATAAATGAATTAGAAAAATCCTATGATGTCATAAAAAAAAGTAACTGCAAATAAAATATCTATTAAATAATATTTTAAATCTTTTATTCGGTATAGTTCAGTTATAAAAATATTTGTAATAGACGTTAGAATTATGTAGCTATAACATTTTAAAATAACCAGAAGAGATTTCACAGAAGAAAGTGAATTATCTCTATTTCAAATTTGTATTAGATTTTTTTCCATAGACTTAAGACTTCTTTGCTGAAAAATTCTCATCCAGCGGCGAAAATGTTGGAGAGTTTTCCCAGTTTGTTGTCCGAAGCAAATTTTTATAAAAATTTCCTGATTTTAAGGATGAGTACGTACAGTTGTATTACTCTACATTCACCCTTAGTATGATCGATTGTAAGTAAATTTATAAAGCAGAAACGTGTATGGTAATGTAGGATATCTATAACTGGTCTTCTCCTATCTTCATCGTCAATATTTCTCTTGAAATGAATTATCTTTAACATGAAATTTCGTTTTCTTTTTTTTTGATTTTAGAAAGATATGAGCAATGCGCATCATGATCGATCTTCCCTTACTATAGCAACATTGGAGGCAACTCTTCATCAGTTTTCAGAGGAAATTTCTGCAGACAACAGACCAGATTCTTCATCATCATCGAGTGAATTTGATCAAAGAACAGCAAGTTTTATAGCTACACAGTTAAGAAACTTTTGTCGTACGTTAAGAACAACTTGTATATTAATCGTGTTACTTTTGATTTCTATTGCAAAAGTTTTTTTTGCTGCTAAATGTTCTGACTACTGTTCAGGCAATTCAAAACTCACTCTATGGTTGATTATTCAAACTGCAATCGCTATATTAATGACAATTATACCGATTTTATTAGTAATGTTTTTTACTAGAATTTTTTAAATGTAATGTAATAACATCAAAAAATATTCTAGGTTATATACTTGCTATCGATGGAAGCTGTTCGTCGAGCATCAGTCATTGTTGCGTATAGCAAGCGGTTTCTTTTATCTCTTAAGATAGTTATGGGTATTTTTGTTTTAACTCGTCTTGCTTGGACTATCACCGTAAGCTAGAATCGATTATCTGCTTTTTAAAACAGGAAAGGATTTGAAATTTCATTTTTAGGGCGCTACTTGGGTTACAAAACGACCTGATCTCCCGCTTGCGGTTGAAGTCGAAAGATTCTATTGTGGCAAAACAATCTGCCATTACTTGAACTCCAGTGTCTACAATACGATGGGTTGTGCAATTTATGGCGTTTTCTTCATGCTTGCCTATTTTATATCAAAACATAGCGATGAATGTTCATGTATACCAACAGTATGGAAATGCTTCAAGAAACTTATTTATTATATTACTGGATTTATAATTGCAATGTTCATTTATTTTTAATTCAAACTTCTATAAGCAGCATCTCAAAAGGAGATGATGGCGTGTTCCCTTTTTTCACTTGCATACTTTTTTTACCAAACTGTTTACGATTGAATTATTGAATAACTATACATAAATATTCTGATCGTAGTAACAATAAACAAGATACACTCATCTCACCAAATTACCTTATTTCTAACATTTTATATCCCTTATGTAAAGATTTATAATGAGAATATTTTTTTTTATTATATATATCTACCACTGAATTTATTCAGATCGTGTTTTGACTTTAGCTTACATTATTAGCGCTCAAGGAAACAATTGTTCCAGTTTCAGGATCCTGAAACTGAAATAATCATTCTTTTTCTTTGAACGATACTATTTGACTAGAAATATATTATTCTATACTAATATACAGAGCTAGATGAAACAGAACACAGAAATTTAATAGCTGCTTCGATTGTTGGTTGTGAAAAGTAAATCTAACACGCCTTGAGGGTGGGTGTGGGTAATCAGTTTATTCCACAGCCACAGCCACAGCCACACCCAGCAATTATTCGAAAGATTCGTGATAATTATGGTATCTATATGGTTCGATAGAACTCGACGAGCTTAATCGAACCGTGTTAAAATGCTCAAGAAGAATCCCTTTTATTTGTATTTGAACATTAAAAAGTTTTCATCACCCTCGCTATTTGATAAAAAAAAGATGTTAGTTATATTTTATCTCAATAAATAAATTTTTACTTTACCATTTGTAAAAAATAAACTTATTATCCTGCACTTCGAGGTAATTTAAAAATGGACTGTTACTATATGTTTAATAATTCCATTCTTTAATTTCTACATATACATTTAATTCACTTCTGACTGATGGATTATTGAATATTTAGTTATAGAAAAACGTAATAAATAAAACCTATGACATTTCACACTCGAAATTGAGAAGTACATTGAGTTATGTAAGTTATTAATGTAAAGTACATTCACTTTACATAGAAATATTCTTTCTATTTCAAGATACATCATGCATCTCTACTCGTTAAACATGTATATCAAAAATAGACAATAAATAGATCACAAGTTCAATTTCGAAAAAACAATAATAAAAACATTATATATTTCCTCTTTAAGATTTATCATGTCAGAAGAAGAAATTAATTATAGTGAGAAATGATCAATACTGCACGGTGGTTTTAAAGATGAAATTGAAAAGATATTTTTGAGTAGCTTTGTGATAATTCTTGTAAAAAACAACAATATTTGAACTTTAGGTATAAATTTAAATGATTTCAACTGATATTTTTAATGATTCAATATAAAAAGATGTCAAGTGAACGAATAATTGAAAATAACAATAAAATCTATTTTGAACATTAATGAAGTTTTCTTTTTGTTCTACAAAGAAAAGATTACATAGTACATTACTTTCAAGTGGTAATGCGCCGTTCTTGAGACAACATCATTAATTATTAATGTTCTAATTATAAGAATTTTCCTTTGATAACGTATTATATTTTATTTTTATTGTCCAACATGTTTGATACAATAAGATCTTTTTCTCATTCATCATACAATTGGTTTGGTTTGTCTTGAAATTACTTATTAATGTATTGATCTACTCTAATATGTTCTTTCGTTATTTTCTATTAATATATTCATTTGGTTTTATTAGTAATTTAACAACGAATGATCATTTATATGAATATAATGGAGAAATAGGTATTTATTTCCTATTGAATAGACGTACAAAAAATGATCCAATACATATTAAATGGCATGATATTGTATTTATTTCTATTTTAATTTTACTTTTTATTTTATTTCTTGCCTGTCTTTATTACCAACGTTCTATATTCAATTTTCTTTCTACTCTTTGTTCAAAAACTAAAAATAATGATGATCAAATCAATCAACATAATACTACAATACATCAAACTTCTCCAATAAAAAATCTACCTTCTATGTATTTAACTGTACCACAACCGTCGTATATACATCCGTAATTATAATTATATACATTAGTTTTAGAAATATATAATCATATCTTTATTTGATATATGTTTAACAACTACTAATACTTATTGCCATATATATAAACTGAATCAATGTAAGAAGTTTTTTTTATAATATTTTCAATGATTTTATTTTAAAATAAAAAGTCATTGCCATATCGTTTACAACGTACTTTTCATGTATCGAAATGATAGTAATGATTTATAAAGTATTTTGACATAATAATAGTAACGGTGAATCGTTTCCATATCGGGAAATGGATAGCTGCTCACCAATCATATAATTGTATGGAGAAAAAAGCAAAATGTCTGTACTACAGCAAGGGCCTTTCAAAGTTATCTTCGAAATGTTTTTTTTGACTTTTTCAAATGTACCATAGATGTGTACCACAGAAGTATTGGCTTGAGATTACTAGATATGAGTTTATTCAAAATAAAAATCCAAATACTTCAGTACTTCAACGCATTTTAGAATTTGAAGTATGATTGTTGTTCTTAAAGATTATCCTTGTCACTAAGTAATATGTGTTCTAGAAGGAACAAGACGCACGAAAATATAAAACTTTTCTACATTTTAATTTCTCA